AGGCTCACTCTACTATTTAACTACAAAGTCTAAGGACTAATTAGTCATAATACTCTATACTCTACTGAGGCAGTAAAGACTATAGCATAGAAAAATCTAGTTAAATTAGCCTTAAGACTCTCTAATCTACTAGACCCAGATCCATAGCTAATAAAAAATAATAGCTCCTCCTTTGTCACACCTTTGTGGTTGAAGATGAGGTCAAAACCACAATCTCATTTTCTATAAATATTAGTATATATATATATTATATACACACAAAAAAAGGCTTTTGAGTTCAATCTTGGCTTTGATAAGCTTGACACAAACAGGCACAGGTATGTTAAGGTCTGTTGCAAAATTTAAGTTCCAATGTATCAATCAATCCTCTGTATATTTGCTTTATAATAAAATGCAAACAAGAATGGCACTATATTATGGTGAGATACATAGAAAGATCCATTGGAAATAAAACTTCAGATAAAACATAATAAGAATCAACCAAATAATGGAAAAATGGTGTATTTTGAGATCACCTGATGATCAATGCATAATTTTTGGCCACTGGAACAAATAGCTTGGTCACAACTTTGGTCCCATATAATAATCTTAATTATTACCTTTAGGCTTAAAAATTATAGCGACACTTTTTTGTGTTTCCTGGTTTCCAACTGAAATTTTTACTGACCATAGTAGGCCTACTCATGTCATTTAGCTTGTGTGTAAGTGTTTAGAACAATGGATCTATATCAAAGCTATAAGTACATCTATATTTATGACTTAATATAAACATTACATGAGCTAATATAATGTTTAATCCAGTCAAAAAGTATAAACTCTTTATGTGGATGCATTTTTTTCATTATGTTTCAGTCAAAATAACCTCCACACGTTATTTAACTCAAGGCAAACATTTTGTACTGGCCTACCACAGAAAGAGAAAATTTCATCATTTCCTGTACCTGATGCTAGCCAAGTTCCAGAAGATTTGCAGAAATTAATGGAAAATGCAAAAGAAAAGGTGAAATAAAAAGCTCAATACTTCAGGCAATGAAATGTTCAGTACCTGACTTAGTAGAATAAAAATAATAACTGTTTTTTAAAAAACATTACATTACAAAACCAAATAAAAAGGTTTAAATAAGGCCAATTTTTCATAAGTTTTGTGGAGAAAAAAAAAGAGAATTGCATTTTATATTTCAAGTTGAGATAATGTTTTTTTTAGAAGGATTATGTCAAAAAGCAGTAACTATTGAATTTCTTAGTATTCTTCACATAATTTTGTGTATGCCAATAAAATAAATTTTGTTTTCAGGGTGGTTTTATTCCTAATGTTTTTCAAGCTTTATCACATAGACCTGAGGAACTAAGAGCATTTGTCAAGTTTTACGATGCTATAATGGAGGACAGAAATGGGGGTGAATGATTTCATTCATTAGTATTATACCTCTGTTCTCCTTTGTTATTTAATCAGTGCATCAGCAAATTAATTGTTGTTTTTTTTTTATGAATTTCCATTTGTTTAAAAAGGTCTGCTACTTTGTTACAAACATATTAAACAAAAATTAGAAGCAGCACGTCTTTTAGAAGTCTTTTAAATGAGAGAAAGTAGTGAATTAAATGTGACAAAATAAGGGACTGCACCCACCAAGGTTCGAACGAGTGACCCTGGAAACAACAACACCGCTTAGCAGCAATGCACAGCAAAACGAACTTAACCTCTAGACCATAGGAATGTCTACAAAAAAATTCTTCTGGTCCAGAAATATTCACCTGTATGCAAATTACCACCCCAGTAGTCAATGGTCACATGCCCCCCCCCCCATTACCTTTGTTACAAAGAGTATTCTCCTTGACAAATTACATTAGAATGATTTGTCTGCTAGGTCTCAGTTTAACAGTATTCCTAGGGCTAATTAGAAACATAAAAAAAAATTAAAATTATATATTTAAATTTATTATTTTTGCAAAATTGTTCTGTTTATTAAATAAGCATATTTTAAGAAATTTAGCAATAAACCGGTTAGGCAGCTGTATAATTAATTAGTATACTGGTATATAATTTTTCCAAAATGAAGTAAAAATTTAATTTGCATGGTATTACCATATTAGAAACCCCCTTAGTAACAAACATGCTGAGAATTAATCCCTTTGAGGATGTGAGTTATAAGGGCGTTCTCTGCCTGTACAAGGATAGACATGTTGTCAACCACGACACAGACAGTTCTTTCTCTCTTCTCGTTGTCCCCTTAGTACTTTTTTAAGATCCAGTTTACAATTTCTAAGCAATAAGTAGAGAAAAAGAAGAGAAAAATATATGGGGAAATGTGAAGGTAATGTGTATGTAACCTATGGAAAAAACATAAGAATAAAACACAGAAGATAGGAGAGATTTTGAAATAAACAGACAAAATGAGCAATGTCAGTAATGAAAGCTTGAAAGATCACTGTTGCCAACTAAATATCTCGAGTATCAGCTGATCTTCTAATCAACTCTACTTTATTATGACAAGCTAGTTGTCCATTTTGTTTTTAAATAAATTTTTAGTTGCGCCACTGTAATATATCACACCTCTAATAGGTGATTATTTTAAAAGAAAGAAATTTTAAAAATAAAATTGTTAGATGAATAAGGTGTAAGCTTTATATTTCTCTTTGAATTTATGTTTTCTGCAGATAATAATGTAATTGGAAAAAGCTTAAAAATTGTTTTTAAAAAATTATCGTTCACAACATAATTAGACTATTTAAAAATGGTCACATAATTACCTTTATCAATTTTAATATTCCCTTTCTCAAAAATTTTGCATCGCTCATAAAATATAAGGGATGCTTCATCATTTACATTTGATTTGTGACAACAATTGGGCTAATTATATGCAAGACAAATTTATAGAATGTTCTGGTCATACCAGTGGCCACTAAAGGACAAAGAGTTTAAAATTTATCATGAAAAAAAATCCCCAATACCTAAATAGCTTTCTAAACTAAAATACTATCTATTATATTAAAACATATATTTCTCTCTATATATAATGAAAAATAAGTTACAAGGTTGGCTTCCTAGTTTTGTAAAACAGAAAAGTTTTTGCACTAAATGGATTTCTTTTTTTTATGTGTCAATAAATGTTAACTAATTTTGTCTAACAGGTCACTTAACCAAAGCTGATAAAGAAATGATTGTTGTTGCTGTCAGTTCCTATAATAAATGCAGATATTGCATAATTGCTCACAGTGCATTGTTTAGAATATATTCTAAAAACAAACTACTGGCAGATCAGGTAACAAACATTTAGTAATATAATGTTTTAATATTAGTAACATTTCATCAGTAGTTAATTAAAAAATTGTGGGGTCAATGGTAACTTTTATAATTGTCTAACTATACAAAATTTTCTTATTTATCCTGAAGTAGTCACATGAATAAGGAGTGCTACCCCTTAAATTCCTCATCCAATGGTATTAAAATCAATATTGTCCTATGCCTACAGATGTCTGAAATTTTATTAAAATGCCTCTTGGTTGCCTATTATTGATTCAGAATATGCAAAATTTACATTGAAATTTAATAGAAACAAACAGGTCAAGATTTTTGCTTGTAATTGAGTAATTGAAATTTGGAAATAAGCAGAAGTTCGATACAGCAATGTTTGTTGAACCAGGTTGTAATTATTTATCAACACTTTATTTAGACACCATTTTAAACACACATTCATTCAATCACTTGTTTTCTTTCTATTATTGTATTTCTGAATTTGTATTTGTGCATATAATGTGCCTAAAAATGTGAAAGTTTAAAGTGAAGTAGTTAAAAAATAATGACATTTAATTTTCTCCTTAACCATAAAAAAAGTATATTTCTTAGCCAAACTGCTAAAAAATGTTGATGCTGCTCTAGAAGAAAGTCTTTTTAGAAATCACAAATCAAGGATTAAAGCCATATATCTATACTTTTTTTTTCTTATTAATATAGCTGCTTTGTTAATTTTCAGGTTGCTGCTAACTGGGAGACAGCAGATCTTGATGAAAGACAGAAAGCTATTTTACAGTTTGCAATGAAAGTTACTAAATGTGAGGCTTTGTCAGAAAAAGATTTTGAAACTCTCACTCAACATGGCCTAGATAGAGAAGATGCTTGGGATATTGGATCTGTTGTGGCTTTCTTTTCACTTTCTAACAGAATGGCATATCTTACTAGCATGGTTCCAAATGAAGAATTTTATCTTCTTGGGAGAGTACCTAAACAAAAAAAATGAAGAAAAACATTTAAATGTATTTTATCATTATAATATGTTAATTGTTCATGTATATTTGTAATACAATGTTATCCAGATTGATTTGTGATACATCCTTTTCCATTACTTAACAGGTGATCCCCACAAAGAACCAGTTGTTAAAATTTATTTTACTTTTATTAGGGCCTCATCCATAAATGCACATCTCTACTCATTGTCCTCCTATCATTGCTGCATTTAATTCAGCATACAACATGAAGATCTGCAAGTCAAATTTTGTAATTTATACTCCTGCTTTCTTAATTTGTACTGCTGAATTTGTATGCACACTATTATTTAATACATGCTCTTTATTAATGTTTCTATAACAGAGGATTAAGTAAAATGCTTTGTGGATCTGATCTACAAATCTAGTCATTAAAACACAAAATCAAAATACTTCTCAAAATGTGATTTTAAAAAATATATATTTTTAATCCTTTAATAGCTAATCCTCTTAATTTTTTCACTCCTAATTGACGATATCTATATTGATTTGACCCCATTAAATTAAATGAATTTTTGATTTTATAAACTTTAATTTGTGTTATATAAAAATGACATGCGTTCTTCTATAATTATATACCTTATATGCTATAACATTTCCTAATTACATACAAAAATGTTATTGAAGTTAAATCATAACAGGGTAGTGGAACACAAATGCGCAAAATGAATATTCAATCGGAATGTGGACAATAATTAGAGAGAGAAAGACTTACCATGAAATATACTTAAAAAAAAAATAAATTTAAAAAAAATATATATATATATATAATAATAATTCTTAATTTAGTTATGATTTCAATTTTCAATGTATATTTCTGTCTCTCCAAATCACACATGAGAATAAAATGTACCTATTGTTTTACTGATAATTTTTTAAAATAATGTCAATGTAGAAAGCTTCAACTGATCATATAGATACTATATGTAAATAATAGTATTTATACTGAACAGGCATTAAGACTATTTAAAACCAAATAACCAGATTTCTAACATATGGACACATTTATTTAGAGAAAGCAATCCTCAGACAATCTCTAGTTCTATTTTTCTTTATAACAAATTCAATGTAAGCCTAATTATTTTCAATTTGTATATTTTATATGCTGTTTTTTTTTTTTAATTTGCTTAAAAAAACATTTGAATCTTATTGAGCTGAATGTACCAGGTAAGGAATATAATCACTTCTATTGAGCACTCTGTGCTGATTTTGTTTTTCTTTTTTTATCAAACTTCTAAATTTTTTGTTTTATTTGATTCTCTCCCCCACCCCCCACCCCCCCCAAACAAAATTATTTTGCACTCAAAAACAATTTTATAATTTCTGGTAGTGTTCATGTTTCTTTTAGACCAAGTATGCTACCACTTTTTGTGTAAGTCAACTTAAGAAGCTACTATTACTTTTCTTATCTGAAATCAAGTTGTTATTGAAGTTATGTGCTCGACTAGGACACTTTATATATTACTTTAAACAGATGTTTACATTTTTTTCTATATTAATTTATATTACATTAAAAATCAAAGTAAAATTTTTTTTAATTAAATATTTTTCCTTAAAAAGCAAGTTTATACCTTGTAACAATAGCTGCTCATATATGTCTGGTTAAAATACAAATTCAAATATTCAAAAATAGTCTTCCTGATATCTAGAAGATAGATAAGATAGTAATGCATTAACTGTCAAGGACCCAAAATTGTTAGTAATTAATAAGTCTTCATTTGTAATCAACAATATTTCGTCACAGTCTGCATTTGAAGAGGGATTGGTAAGGATGCTGGTGTTAGATATGGAACCAATATTTACACTTGAATGTAGTGGCTTTTAGGAAATTCTGATCAACATTTTTACCAAACCGTAGAAAAGTTTCTCTGCAATTATAAGAATTATATAACCAAAGGGAAAACAAACTGACAACACTTGTAGCAGACAGTACAAGAGCATTCATAGTTGTTACACTACAGTATATCAATCCAGTCACAGATGGTGTCTTCAGCTTTGGCATACAGAAAGGCAAACATACCGAGAAAGAAATTCGCAAATAAGGCAACATTTATTTTTTAAAGACTTTAACATTTTTTCTAAGGTATAGAATGTATAGTTACAAATTACGCTTCTAACTCTTGAGAACTTTGAAAAGGTCTTCTGTTTATATCGCCTTTCTTAAGTTGCAGACGATATCTCGGATTGCACCAGCGTTGGTGGATTCTTTGACTCTAAATCAGAATGGCACTTAGATATGATAAACATTTGTAGCTGTCTTGATACTGAGTTTATTGAGGATGACGAAATTGAAGATTCATAAATGATGTGGAAATCAATTTCTTTCGACAGCATTGATGCTGCCACAGACAAAACATTTCGAAAAATGTTTGATAGAGTTATGTCAAAAACACAAGCTCTCTGGAATGCGGTGCACCGGTGATCCAAAGACAAAATGATGGTATTATTGAAGGCCTACTTAGTCTATATGCAGTGAATATTGTGCTGTAGACATAACAGTTGAATTGGTTTCTAGAAAGTGATTAATTGTCAGATAGCTCTAAAACAAGCCAAAATGACAGCAGCTGAAATTAATGAATGGCTACATATTTAAGTATTTGTATTCACTTGTAAGCCCTATTTAGAATGAAACCTATGGTAACAGGCCAACGCCTTAGAAACTTTTTGTAGTTGTATAAGAAAGTCCGGGCATGCTACCATATATATATATATACACTGTTCAATCAGGCAGGTGAGAGGGAGCTCTTGCGTTCGCTTTTACTGGCCTAGAGTTTCAAGAGCCTATGGCTAAACTCTACCTGACAGTTTCAAATTGGAGAAGAAAGTGATTGTTATTTTAGCATATTGATTTGATACTAACCATTATGATTATGGGGTCTCCATGTAATCTAAAAACAACAATAATGCGTTTATAAAGCCACTTGATGCATTACAAAGGGGTTTGCAAAAAAGATGTAGACATTGTGCTGATTTCCTGTTCAATGCCATGCGCACCATACATTATTTGTGCATTATTTACATATCAGCACGTGTACTCACTCAAGTCAACACTCTGGCTGGCAAAAAGAGGAGCTCATCAGTATTATGAAGAGACGGAAGCTGAGCTGGTTCGGTAAGATTGTAAATCATGACTTACTGTCAAAAGTCATCCTTCAAGATACAGAATACAGTGAAGATAGCCCGATAAAAGTGTCGTCCAAAGAAAAGCTGAGACAACGTAAAGGAATAGACCAGCCTTTCGTTTGATATCCTGCTAAGAACAGATACTGACCGGGAAAAATTGAGGGACTTGGTTGCGCTCTCACAGAACCCCTACGATGAAAGTCAAAGGACAGATGAGATGAAATACCCAGAAAGACACAAAGACGCATTATCATTCCATATGTTTGGACAGTCGAACAGGTGCTCCTTCTTCCCTAGTGCCATTAAACTTCTTATATAATACAGACGTTACTTAAAAAAAAAGAATATGATTACGTCCTACACGTTATGCATTTAGTCATGCATATTAACCAATGACCTAAATTATGGCTAGCTCAGGCAACCCATTCCATGCTCTTATAGCACTAAGGGAGAAGGAGCATTTGTACAAATTTGTCCTAGCATATGGAACGAGGAATGTGCCTATTTAACTTTGTGTCTTTCTGCGTATTTTATTAAATTTTGTATTTGAAGATTTTAAAATCTGCACAAATCCGTCCCACTCAAAGCAAGCTACATGTGTATGACGGTAGCACACTCAAACCTATTGGAAAGGTACAACTCGTAGTACAAAATCCAAGGACCAACAAGAGATATCGTATTGATTCCGTGGTTGTGAAAGATGACTTAACTCCCCTGTTAGGGAAGAAAACATCAGAAAAAATGGGACTAATTACAATAAACTATCATACTTTTGAAAGTGTTGATAAGCCTCTACCAAGGTTATCGACAAAAATATTTGAACAGTTCTCTGATGTATTTGATAATCAGCAGGGTGAATTACCTGGTGTCAGGGCCGCAGCGAGGGTTGTGGCCGCCTGCGTGCAAAATAAAAAATGCCGCCCCCCCCCCCCCTTTTTTTTCTAGAAAAAAAAATACTCCACTAAGACTGAGCTGGACACTGTTCCAAAAAGTGACCTTTGATTTAAATCCATTTTTTTTTTTAGACCATTTCATTTTTTGCTTACATATTCGCACCGCTGTCGTATCCCTTAAGTACAACTATGAACCATGCACTAGGAACAATTTCGGATATACGTGACTACAGAAATCTGACATTTTGGTTCTCTGTGATAAACACTAAAAATGAATCTCATTCTGCCCACTCGCTTATTCTCCTGTATTTGCGACGATTATAATTGATGAGCTGAACAGCGTAAATGATCATGATCTATATACAATTTCTCGATGCCTTTGACTGTTTAACAGCGATATATGGTCTGGACGTGGATATGTTCACTTGTTTGTTATTGTAAGTTAAAATATAATTTAAAAAAAAAAAACTCGAAATACATAAGCCATTGACAGTGGAAATTTTTCAACGTTCTTTTAACTTTCATAATAATTATCATGATTGTTATTTGGAGAGATGTGCATTGTATCCACAATCATCTGACATACACGGATTCAGATTTGCTTACAAATTTATCCAACAAATGATGCAACTAAACGTTGAATATTTTTCTTAAGAGTGATTAAAAGTAAATAATCCAAAGTACAAGTCACTTTAACATTGACTTGAAATAAACCATAGTAAGGCAGTGTTTCTCATATTCCCGGGTGGCGACTCCCTAGATAATATTTTCCTACAAGCTCCCTTTAGAGCCTGGAGCCCAAAGGAGCGATGTAGGCTCCCACAGTGAGTTCCGTATCTAATCTTATCTTATATAATACAGACGTTACTTCAAAAAAGAAGATGATTACGTCCTATGCGTCATGCATTTTAACCAATGACTTTAATTCTGCCAAGTCACTGGTTTTCCTGGCTAGCTCAGGCAACCCAATCCATGCTCTAATAGCACTAGGGAAGAACGAGTGTTTGTACACATTTGTCCTAGCATATGGGACGAGGAATGAGCCTTTATCTTTGTGTCTTTCAGAGTATTTTATTAAATTTTGCTTTTGTATTTGAAGATTCTGGTTCAGTGTTTTATGTATAATTACTACTTTACTTTTGAGTCTTCCTTGCTTATGAAAAGATGATGAACTGCAACTGTACTGCATGCATAGGTTATTATTAACCTAAAAGATTAATGTCAACTTCCCCTAAAGAGAAATGTGGCGATCTGAAAAAAAAAATATAAATAAAAACCTAAAAAATGTTTAAAGAATGCAAACAAAAATAATATTACAATAGAGGCAAAACACAAAATGTTTAAGGTATGGTATACAAGAAGGATTGTTGCTATATAATGACATTAGGTCAAAAACAATTCTATGTAGGCCCTATTTTCATTGAATAAATGTTCATTATAATTTTTTATGCAAATTAATAATGAACTTAAATCTCAGTGAAATGACAAAAAGCTGAAGATATTGGTTAATAGATAAGATTAACATTTATTTTACATTTTTTTAATTTAATTGATTTGATCTCATTAAAATTTTCATTTGGTTGGTGTGTGGGGAGGGGGGGGGGGGAATCAGTAATCTTAAAGAAAAATTTATTTTTCGTACCTTTTGAGCAGACTTCCTCGTGAAGAGATATTGAACAGCATCTGTAGTGCATACATAGACAATTCTTATTGTCAGTTGCCCTTGAAGAAAACTGACATTCTAAAAAAAAAAAAAAATACAAACAAAATAAAATTACAATAAAGACAAATCCTGAAATGTTTATGATATGGTGCATAAGAAAAACTGTAGCCTAATAATCAGACTCTGTATTTTTTCTTTAACAGTATCCACACAATGAAATTTTTAAAAGCCTAAGCCTTAGCTAAGCCTACAGAATGAATCCTAGATCAAATTGTAGAAAAATGTATAATATAATAATTAGTAATAAGACCTCTAGATATTCTAGCGAGATCTAAATATGATAATCTAAATCTATGTCTAGTTTATAGATCTAAAATTTCTAGATCTGTATAGATCTATTTAATTCTATTACCTAGAGCATAGAGTCTTTAAAATTTACAAA